TATATTTGTTTATTTTTAAGTGAATGATGATTGCTTTACAGTATTGGTTTGATTTTTGTCATACATCAACATGAATTAACCATAGGTGTACATATGTCCCCTTCCCCTTGAGTCTCCCTCCCACCTCCTGCCCAATCAGACCCCTCTAGGTTATTACAGAGCCCCAGTTTGAGTTTCCTGAGTCAAACAGCAAATTCCCATTGGCTCTCTATTCACATAAGATAGTGTATATGCTTCCATCTACTCTCTCCATTTATCGCACCCTCTCCCTCCCCTCCCCAACCCCTGTCCATGAGTCTGTTCTCTATGTCTACATCCCTACTGCTGCTCTGTGAACAGGTTCCTACCTGTACAAAAGGCTCCTATATCCATTGTCTCATCTGACCCTGCAGGACTCGGTATCCGCTTTACAGATGTACAGATAGAAGCTCGGGAACATGAGGCGATCGTTTCAGGCCACATGTGCAGTCAGGGATAGTGTCAGCATCCCAAACCCAGTGCCCAGACCTCTCAGCCTTTAGATGAGGATCTGGACGCTTTTATTTACTGGCTAAATGTCCACGGTGTGTCAGGCACTGGGCCAGGCTGGAGGAGGCATCTGTGGCCCTCCAACAAGGGTTGAAATAATATTGATAAGCTATTCTTAAAGAAATATATCTATATCAATCAATCAATCCATAAAGAGATGGATATATAAGGACAGAGAGAGGATGAGTAGTTATGCAATTCTTAAGACTAATGATTTTCAGCAAAATAAAAAAGAGACAACTATGAAATTTTTTAATTGAATCATAAACCATATAATCTTAAATTTAAATGGTAACTAACAGTATAAAGAGATGATTTCTCTTTCTAAAAAAATGTCTGCTTCCCATATATATTACCATACATAAAACAGGTAGCCAGTGGGAATTTGCCATATGATGCAGGGAGCTCAAACCAGAGCCCTGTGACCACCTAGAGTGGTGGGATGGGGTGGGAGGTGGGAGGGAGGTTCACGAGGGAGGAGACATATGTATACCTATGGCTGATTCATAGGTAATGGATGGCAGAAACCAACACAATATTGTAAAGCAATTATCCTCCAATTAAAAATAAATTATTTTTTTACCTGTTTCCTACCACAGTCCACTGGAAAAGCCTAGAAGTAAAAATAACTCAGTAGCAGTGAGCACCCCGAATGCCCCTCATTTGCCAGTTTACCGGAAGAACAGAGGATAGAGGAACATGCTAAACAGCACAGTGGAGACGTGACCCTCAGACCAGAATGTGGACATCCTCCCAGCCAGATGCCCTGACTTGTCCAACAAATAAAAGGCATAAGAAAGAGGAGAGAAGAGTACTAGAGACAGATGGTCAACCAAATATGACGTGGGGTCCTTGTCTGAATCCTGCTTTAGACAAAAACATCTAAAAAGATATATCTGAGACATTCAGGGGATCTAAACACAGCCTGGGTATAAAATAATATTAAGAAAATACTGTTCTATTAAGTGTTACATTATTACAATTATGAAAAGTACTTTCAAATATTCAAGCTATTCATACTTATGGACAAAATGACTGATGTTTGGGATCCCCTTTGAAATACCACATTGGTCTGGGTGAGAAGCAAATAAGGGAAGGATAGAAGAAACAGCAATTAAGTAAACATCATTTTAAAATGCTCAGAAAAGAGTGTTCTCCTAAAAATACCTAAGCAAAGCAGTGCTGGACGCTGTGGCTGTCCTGCCCAGGTCCCCACCTATCTCCTTACCACTGCAAGTGATGCCTGAGGGCCCTTCTCTGCAAAACTGTCCCTGACCAACTGAATGGTAGCCATCTTGCCAGGAGGTAAAGCATGACCGGGCCCCATAAGCCATCAGTCAAAGACTCATCATACCTCCTTCCCTTCCTTTGTTCTGAGAAAGTGCAAGTATTAGTGCTCAGTCACGTCTGACTCTTTGCAACTCCACGGACGGTAAGCCCGCCAGGCTCCTTGGCCCGTGGAATTCTCTAGGCAAGAATACTGGAGTGAATAGTCATTCCCTTCTCCAAGGGATCTTCCCGACCCAGGGATCGAATCCAGGTCTCCCGCATTGCAGGCAGATTCTTTACCATCTGAGCCACAAAGAAGGCCCATGTCCTGAGAACTCTCTCCCAATCAAACATGTGCAAACAAACTAATCCATCTCATGGTCTGCTTGTGACAGGCTTGTGGAGAACAGGGCAAGATTGTCCTCAATGGGAAAGTGGAGGATGAGGGCAAGGACCTACCAAGTTAGATGGGAAGGATTACAGAGAAGTTGCTAGGTGTGTGTGGCTGAGGCACATAGTAGGACTGATTACACCAGTAAAACAGAAGGACTTGGGGATAACGATGTCCACAGCAGGAGGAGACTCCTTATACCTCCAAATATCCCTTTAGAGAGCTCCCCATCCAAGCCAAAAAGGAGCTTCTGAGAGTGACCCTTTCGTTCCGGAAGGCCGGGCAGGTGAGGGGTGGGGACAGCAGTGGGCTAGTCTCACAGTACTGGGACCAGACCTCACCTGGGGCTCCAGAGACCCTCATGGCCCAGAGAGTCCTTGGCTGGAACCTGAGCCCTTGCCTCTGGGGTTCACCTGACCCCGTGCTCTGGCTAGAATCAACACTGTATTTACATCTGCTCAGAACAGCACTTCTCTTCTGGGAAACGTTCCTCCAACCTCATTCTAGTGAAGGTTGCCAAAAACAGTACCTCACCCTAGACATAATGACTGGGCCAGAGACAGGCATATTACCCGGCCAAGACAAACAGGAGTAGAATTTTCAACTTTAAAAAAAAAAATCACAGCATTTCATATCCTAACTAGGCAACACATTTATATAGTTCAAAAATCAGAAGGCCTAGAAAGGAATAAAGGGTAGCCTTTTCCTCCTACAACTGGATACTTTGGATACAAATACTGAATACAAACAAGCACAAATTTATCATTCCCTTTTTTGTTACCAAAATGCAGCATGAAGTACACATTTTCTGCTCCTGGATTTTTCCCCTAACACTGTATTTTGGTAGTGATGTTTCCATATCACTATTGGAAGTACTTCCTCACCTGTATTTTTTTAATCACAGTGCCACAAAATATTCTGTTGAATATATGCACCATGCTTTATTTAATTGGGCTTCCCTTGTGGCTCAGCTGGGAAAGAATCTGCCTGCAATGCAGGAGTCCCCAGTTCAATCCCTGGGTCAGGAAGATCCGCTGGAGAAGGGATAGGCTACCCACTCCAGTACTCTTGGACTTCCCTAGTAGCTCAGCTGGTAAAGAATCTGCCTGCAATGTGGGAGACTTGGGTTCAATCCCTGGGTTGGGAAGATACCCTGGAGAAGGGAAAGGCTACTCACGCCAGTACTCTGGCCTGGAGAATTCTATGAACTGTATAGTCCATGGGGTCTCAAAGAGTTAGACATGACTGAGCGACTTTCACCTTCACACTTATTTAATCAGTGCCCTCTCAAGGGATACTTATAATAGGTTATTTCCTATCAGAGAGCTTCCCAGGTAGTGTAGTGGTAAAGAACCTGCCTGCCAATGGAGGAGACGCAAGAGATGTGGGTTTGATCCTTGGGTCGGGAAGATCCCCTGGAGGAGGAAATGGCAATCCACTCCAGTATTCTTACCTGGAAAAGCCCATGGACAGAGGAGCCTGATGGGTTACAGTCCATGGGGTCACATAGAGATGGACACAACCAGACACATGCACACACATACACACGTCAGTAGAGAACCATGGAACTTTCACGGGAAGTTATTTTAAAGATTATTTTATAAAAATAGTAATATTCCCAACAAGATTTGGAAGGGATAGCCAGTAACTATCTAGTTCAGCTGGTTTAATTTAATACGACCTGTTTTGATGGTTTAACTGGTTTGAGCCACTCCACAAATGCATGTCGAATCTCTTTACTTTCCCTAATTACCTACTTGAGTACACAGAAGCCTCATTAACAGTTGGCTGAGTATATCCCTCTTGAGGCTTGCCATCCACCCAAAATATTGCCCAGAACTCCCAGGAGGTTACTTAGTCACAAAGGAAGCAGCCTTCACCTTGTACAGTAATTCAGGAGAGAATCAGGATCCGGGTACCCCAGGACAAACACAGCTTCTCACACCAGACTGTGGCCGCTGGACCCACACTCTCCCTTGCATGTTCGTGCCCAGGGACAGATCCTGTGTGAGCACTGAGGGTCACAAACTCAGGCACCAAGGTGGTGGCTCTGCTAGACCACAGTCACACTCTTAGTCTCTTCCACGGGGTGGAAATGGGCAAACTGGCCTAAAAAGTGCCCAGAGAGTTTCTCTTTCTAGCACCTGCCACGTTACAGATTATCAGGGAGAAAGAAAACTTTTTCTCTACCCTCTTATGTTTAGTCCTTGGGGATGTGCAAGTTAAACTGACAGAAGACAGATTAGCAAGAAAAAAGACAGGTATTTATTCATGGCTGTACACAGGAGTTCACAGGGGGAAAAAACATGACTCACGGTTAGAATTGGGCCTTACATAACATCTTAACAGGAGATGAGGAGGGCAGAAGGGTACTAATGGAAAAACAAATGACTTTTTAGAAAGATAAATGGACCCTAAGGAGAACAGATAGGAATATGATAATTTTGTCACGAAGTCTGATGGAGCGTGGTGCCAACTTCTTGTCTCTGAGAAGATTAGAGTTGTTCCCGGGGAGGGTATGGCTGACCATTGAGTTTGTGGGAGAGGTTCTGCTTTCAGACAGATAGAGGGTTTTAGTTAATCAAATGCCTTGAACTCAAAATAACTTTTATACCAAAGGGGTATACTTAGGGTGGCATATCCTGATCCCCTTGACAACTCAGAACCTACCCATCCAACTCCCCATGGGTAATGCCGACTTGTTTGCAAGCCTTTAAGAAGCAACACATTTGGAAGCAAGCATTTTGGAAAAATGCTTCTCCTTTGACAGTGGAGGCCACTCTCCTTATACCAGCCTTTTTGAGAAAGTTACCCTCAGAGGTACCAAGATAACTCTCTCAGCGGCTACAGCCTGACGCAGAGGATGACGCCTCTCACTACGAAGACAGCGAGAGCCAAGTGTACTGGGCAGCAAGGTGCTCTGACGGTGACGGTCCTCCCACGGAGCCACGCGACACAGCTCTGACATGGCGACGTGACGGGGGCCCTCATATTTGGGGACGACCGGGACAAAAGGCTCAACAAGTAAGAGAGGGGCAGACTTCAGGTCGATACTGGGAAGAAACTCATAATGATGAAAGCGGTTCCAAGAAAGCTAGGTCTAGAGTTATCAGGCCCTGTGCAGAGCGCAGCTGTGCACAGATTATAGGGGTCATAAACTAAGGAGGAGACATGGGTGATTGAGCAAATGGTACTGGGGAGAATGGCCATTTCTGAAGGGGGGGGGTTAGATTTCATTCATTTATTGTGAATAAACCAAAATTCATCCACGTTAAATATGGGCTAAATACTTTTAAAGAATGTAAAAATATAGACTAAAATGTAAGTGATAGCTTTTTCTAGAATGAAGGTGTTTCTATGGATAAAAGATTTCAGAGAGAAAGATACAAGTCCATAAAATTAAAAATATCTTTCCATCAGGCTCTGTATCAATCTAGGGGGGTGGGATGGGGAGGGAGATGGGAGGGAAGTCCAAGAGGGAGGGGATACATGTATACCTATGGCTGATTCATGTTGAGGTTTGACAGAAAACAACTCTGTAAAGCAATTACCCTCCAATTAAAAAATAAATAAATTTTAAAAAATATCTTTCCATCAAAATCAACAATAGCAAAAAGGCAAATTATAACTTAGGAAAGAAATATTAAAAATAACTATGAAAACATAAAGGCTATTGTTTTAAGTCATAGAGAGTTCTTTGAAGTTAATTTTTAAAACAATATCATCCAGTAATCCCACTCTTTTCCATCAATGGAAACAACCTAAATCTCCATTGGTAAGTGAATGGATAAAAAAATATATGGTTTTATATACACACACACACACACACACCCATGCAACAGAAATAGCCATATAAAAGAACAAAATAATGCCATTTGCAGCAGCATGGACAGAGCTAGAGATGATCCAATTAAGTGAAGTTAAGTCAGAAAAAGACAAATGTCATATGATATCACTTATATGTGGAATATAAAAAAAATGATACAGATGAACTTTGTATTTACAAAACAGAGACTCACAGACATAGAAAACAAACTTATGGTTACCAAAAAGAAAGAGGGGAGGGATAAACTTACGAGACTGAGATTAACAGATACACACTGTTAAGTGTCAGTCGCTCAGTTGTGTCTGACTCTTTGCAACCCCATGGACTGTAGCCCACCAGGCTCCTCTGTCCATGGAATTCTCCAGGCATAAATACTGGAGTGGGTTGCCATTTCCTTGTCCAGGCTATCTTCCCCACCCAGGAACTGAACCCAGGTCTCCTGCATTGCAGGCAGACTCTTTACAATCTGAGCCACCAAGGAATACACACTACTATATATAAAATAGAAAACCAACAAGGACCTAGTGTATAACACAGGGAACTATATTCAATATCTCGTAATAACCTATAATGGAAAAGAATCTAAAAAAGAATATATATATATAACTGAGTCACTTTACACCTGAAACTAATGTAACACTGTAAATCAACCATACTTCAATTTAAAAAAAATAAAAACAAATATCACACCAATAGAAAAAATGAGCAGAAGAAAGACAGAACTACAATACAGCACAATGAATATCTATTGTAAGCATATGAAAAGAGCCGTTCAGTATCTCTAGATCCAAGAAACATGAAATAAAACACCGGCAGGAGTCATTTTTTTACTATAAAGTTGACAGGGCTTTAAAATGATAAAGCAGGCAAACTTCTATTGTACTGAGAAAAAATAAATAAGAGGGGCAGGGCTGGTTTAACAGTGGGAAGCTCCCACCCCTGAAGAGACTGAAGAGAAACTGGCTCCTAACCCATAGAGAAGAGGACCCTGAGGACTCTGGGCTGCCGGGAGAGGCGGGGGCTGACAAGTGACAAACGCCCCCTCTGCCTTCTGTGGGTTTTCAGTTCTGTCCCAGGGATGGATTGCCACACCACAGACTTTCACAGTAGAGATCTTCCAGAAAAACAGGTTCTCCAGGACCTTATTGTCTAGATTTCTATGTCAATGCAGCCAGTGCTTATATCCTCTGAGAAGTGGCATGGGGGTGGCAGGGCTGGTGAGCAGTCGAATTAAGGACAAGCTCAGTTTGTTCAAGGTAATGTGATACAGTACGTATCAAAAAAAAAAAAAAGTGTGCCTACATCTGTCTGGCAGCTCTTTTGTCAGTGGTGAGTTATCGAATGCTGCCCAGCGCAAGGGCACTCCAGAGGCCCAGTTGAGCTGGCACGGCGTGACGGCTTCCTGCGTTTCCCTGGGGAAGCAGCCTCAGTAAGTAGCAGCTACTGCTGCAAACCAGAAACCTGGGACCAGCAGCTTCACTGCACAAAGTATTGATCCTTAATTATTGATCCTCTCTTAAAAAGAAGACGGGTCTTCCTCTCTCTGTCCCACTTCCTCTCCCTCTCTCCCTCTGTCTCTTTTTCTCCATTAATACACCTACACAAGGAGGTATGTCAGGGAGAAAATATTCAAAATGGGTGCAGTGCTCTCTAATAATTCCCGTCGAGGCCATCACTGAACCGTGGGGGCTGGCTGATGCATTGTTAGGCTCATCCCCAATAATGTTCGCCCTTCCTCCTCCAGCTCAAGGTCAACTTTGCTCTTCAACTGCATCTAAAAATATTATCGTTTTGAATGTGCTAGAAATTAGCTGCCAGCTTGGCTACTGTGTTAGTGCCAGTCCCTGCAGGATTCTTCACCCCCTTAGCAGCAGGGCACATTTTTCTTTGAGCTCCAGGGCAATCCAAACCCTTATGAGTACTGCAGATCTCAGCAGGGTAGGTGGATGCTCTGTATCCCCTGTTGGGAGGCTGGGTCTACAGGGACACGAGAGCTGGGACCAGCCCTCTTTCTCTTGTCTCTCAGACTCAGCCCCCAGGCTCATTTCTGCTCTTAAACATGTCAGCCAACAGACACACACCAGGAGCCCCATACAACAGAGCCAGTCTGCAGTGCGACCCAACTCCTTGCTGCAAACAAGAGCTGCTTAAGTCCCTGGTGGCTCAGATGGTAAAGAATCTGCCTGCAATGCAGGAGACCTGGGTTCGATCCCTGGGCTGGAAAGATCCCCTGGAGGAGGGCATGGCAACCCACTCCAGTATTCTTGCCTGGAGAATTCCATGGACAGAGGAACCTGGAGGGCTGAAGTCCATGGGATGGCAAACAGTCAGACATGACTGAGTGGCTAAGCACACAAGCACCGAAACTGTTAGCGATGTTACACATCTCAATCAAAAAAGTAAACAATAAAATACATGTTACAAGATTTAATGAAGTTCTGATGTTTTTCCATGTAACTTCTTCAGGTTCTTTTTTTTTTTTTTGAGGTATAGTTGACATAAAGTATATTAGTTTCAGGTGTACAACATAGTCATTCAGTATTTGTATCTATCAAAAACTGACCACCGCAATAAGTCTAATTAGTTAACATCCATCCCCACACAGAGTTACAAAGAAATTTTTTCTTGTGATGGGAACACTTTTGTGTGTGATGAGAACTTTTACTATCTACTCCCTCAGCAAACTTTCAAATATGCAGTACAGTTATTAGGAACCAGTCACTCTGCTATACATTTCATGCCCAGGATTTATCTTGTAACTGGGTGGTTGCACCTTTTGACTTCCTTCACTCATTGTGCCTACCCACACTCCCACCTCAGGCAGCCAACAATCTGTTATCCATCTCTGTGCACTTGTTTGTTTTTAGATTTCACATAAAAGTGATATCAAACAGCCTTTGTCTTTCTCTGCCTGATTTATTTCACACAGCAAAATGCCCTCCAGATGCATCCACGTTGTTGTAAATAGCAAGATTTCATTCTTATAACCAAGTAATATTCCATTGTATATATATCCCACATCTTCTTTATCCATTGACCAACTGATAGACACTTAGGTTTTGAGTTTTTTAACATAAATATATTTTTCAGGTTCCTTTTCCTTACGGTAAAGTTAGTCGCTCAGTCATGTCCGACTCTTCGTGACCCCATGGACTGTAGCCCACCAGGCTCCTCTGTCCACACACTTTTCCAGGCAAGAATACTGGAGTAGGTTGCCATTCCCAGGGGATCTTCCTGACCCAGGGATAAGTTACTACAAAACCTTGAGACTAGTTCTCTATCTGTACAGAGGCCGGGTCGTTTGCCCAAGTCATGTAGCTAGTATGTGATGCAGCTGGTGTCTAGACATCTTCTCTGAACTGCCTGGAGGCCACGGTCATTGGCAAAATGGAGGAGGGCCCTCACCATCAGGCACTGATTTTCAAATGAGAACCTGGGGCTGGAGGTCTCTCTGCCCCCTCTGATCTGTAGGATGTCCTTCCTGGTCCCTGGTGGACAGCCTCTCTCCGTGGGAGCAACAGACTCCACAAGGGCTGGGGGAAGTGAAAGAAGAGGGAGAGGCACTCCCCGAATGGACTCCTCATCTTTCCCGAGCTTTCTGGTAGGAGATCTGGTTCCTGAGCAATAGGAACTCGTCGTCCAGCTGCTTCTGCACACGCAGGTGTTCACCCAGGTGGCATCCACGTGGTCAACAACTGCTTGTTCCTCCAAGGCAACAGCTGGCTCTCGAGGGCTAAAGAACCTCTGGCTGGGTGGCCGCCCTCATTCCTACTGCCCACAGCCGTCTAGCCTCCTCCTGGCCTTCCAGCCCTGAGCGCCTGTTTCTTCCCTTCCCAGGCATCACCAGCGGCAGGCTGGCATGGGAGGAGGACGTTTGCTTCCAACCATCAGTGGTTGGTCCCAGGGCCTGCCCCAAGCCATGGATTCTGGGCCCAGCCCTCTCTTCTGAAAGGTGGTGGTTTGACTTGGATGCAGATGTGTAGGCACCTGCCAAGTTCAACACACAGTGGAGACAAACACAGCTCTATCCCTGACAGCCTCCACCTAAGGCCAGGCACAGACAGGGCAGTTCATCTGGGGAACAAGGCGAGGGGTGGAGGCAGGGTGGGGGGGATGTTGGGGCGTGCCAGGCTCCAGGACAG